TATAAACAATAATTAGTGTGTCATTTTAAAAGATGTTTTATATAAAAGCTTCTGTAATAAACGCACATGATTAAGACATTTATGTAGTAGATTAAATCTGTATTGCTTCAACAATAACCATCCTTTGTTGAAGTTTTCGTCATTAGGTAGCCATAGTCATTCTTCAAATATCGTATACGCACACACATATATTTATATTGAACCTAGGTTTTTAAACTGCGATTTATTAACCCTAGATTCAAATAATTCCTCTGTTCTTGATGCTGGTTGTGGAAATTATGTTTCCTGATTTTTGGTATATCAGACGTTAACCTGCAAAAAAAGTCAATAAGTAATTAACAGATCTGGATGGTTTTAAGAATCAGATTAATACACGTCGCTGTGATGAATAGTGTGTGCTAGCCGTTGATGCATTGAACGTCATAACTCTCTATTTAGTAAATGTTTGCTTCAGCCCCTTGATGTACACAACAAACAAATGGAATATCTGTATATCTGTATATTTAACCAAAAGAAATGGTAATAGGGACATGATATACCTCATGAAATCCTTTAGTTTTCCCCGACCTCGGAATGCCGGCAACTTCAATGATCCTTCAAGTTTCAACACTCTCTCTATGCAATCGCTTTTGTGTATGTTGCTCTTGAGAATCGGTTGTATTTATACTGCTATCAGCAGAGTGCCTTTGATAGTTACTGTGTATAAAGTTATGAACAATTGTACAATGGTTAATAGCATGGAGTGTACGTTTTTTATGACATGACGTCTGAATCAACATCACACAGTAGGTCGGCTAATTGCATCCCCATATTTAATTTTAATATATCTAGATCTGAAAAGTTGTACTTCAAAATCTTCAAAACTGATTCGCTTATTTAGTTATTTACATGCTTGCTCAATACATCTTATTATTCAATGAACAATTCATTTGTCCGTTGTATCTTTGAGTGCGTTACACGCTACGTATTTAGTATTTGAAATCAAGTGCCAAGCAGTCCAATCAACTATTAATCTATTCTCTTGAACCGATCTCAAAATACTAAATGGGCTGTACTCATCGATGTAACATTAAATGAGTTGTCCTTCTGCTCAGCAATACACCAAGATCCGTCACTGTTTACCCGACCCATTTTTGACCCAAAACTTTGGGCGGGAACACTGTTCCTTTTGCTTTTGTATAATAAAAGATCCCCGCACATGACATATCATTATCCATGAATTAATGGTCGAAACTCGGAAGTGGTTGTATGCTGGGATATACTTTGTACTTTTACAATGATTAAAAAATTCTTTTCGTGACTTAAAGTTATAAATAAATAAGGAAAGGGGTTAAATAAGCCCTTGTATTATCTCCAATCCCCCAATATTTAAGCCCCTGTATTAAAAAAAAATACAATCAATCAAGGCATTTGACCTGCTATAGCAGGTTATTTTTTTTAAAGTTAAATTAGGAATATTGATAAATCTTACAAAAATTCATTAAAATTTGTATAAATAATCTAATAATAATATAAAAAATAATAAGGAGTATAAATTAAAAAATAGATTCTAAAAGTTTAAAAATATTAAAGTAAAAAATAAAAAATTTATAAAACAGAAAAAGAAAAGTGAAACTAAAAAAAATGAAAATAAAAATTTAAATACCTTTTAAATAGTTGTAGAATATAAAAATATTTTTAAAAATTAAAAAATATTGAATTTTATATTCTGAAAATTTTCACAAATTTTGTATATATATCTTCAAATTTAACAATTTTTTAGAGTTTTTAAATATTAAAAACCTGCTATTACAGGTCAAAAACTGATTAAATGATCAAATTGATCAATTTTGTGAAGTTGACGTACTTATATGATACTTTTTTTAGTACAAGAGTTTATGTGATGGATTGAAGATAGTAGAAGGGCTTATTTGACACTTTATTCAATAAATAATGAAAACAATAAGTTCAACGAAAACCACGTTTAATTTATCAAAACCACTTTTATTAGTTTTAACAATAGGTTTAAACGAATCTCAAATTCATTGTATGTTTTAATCACTGTCGTATTTTGTTTTTGGCCTCTTCTAATTTTGAAACCATCTCTATTTAAAAAAAAATGTCGGTTGTATAAATGTACTCCGTAATACAAACTTTTAAATTTATCATTTCAAAATAAGTTAGATGCAAATATTAGAGCTAAAGGATTGTACAATTAATCGTTCACATTTTTAAAATAGGAAAAATTGACAAAAATAATCCCACCTTTCATTGGTCTTCTCATAATAATCCTACCTTTACATAATCCCAAAATAATCCCACCTTTGCACCTCATCTTCTTTCATTGGACCTTGACCAAGTTTTTTACCTTTCTTTGAAAATCTTATATAAATAATCTCACATTTATAAAGATATAATAGAAAAGTGAAAGCTGAGATTATTTATATGATTTTCAAAAAAAGAGTAAAAAACGTGGTCAAGGTCCAATGAAAGAAGATGAGGTGCAAAGGTGAGATTATTCTGGGATTACCTGAAGGTGGGATTATTATGAGAAGACTAGCGAAAGGTAGGATTATTTTTGTCAATTTTTCCTTTAAAATAAGGATCAAGGACAATTACAGTAAACTTATGTATTTTTTAAATACATGAGAAAGAAGGAGAGAATATCAATTGACATAATAAATGTTAAAAAGAAAATCAACATAAATTACAGGAGTAAAACACAAAAAACATTTTACAGAGACGTACATCAAAGAAAATTATATTTGTGTGGACTAAAAATATATTTAGATTAAACTCTCTAATGATTATTAGATTAACTGTTCTGAATGTGCACAGTAATTCTATTACATAGAGATATTAAAACTACTTATAGTATTTCTCTGAAAATTTCTCATTCGAAAATTATCCAGAATTGCATGCAAACGTTGTTATAATTAAATACTCCGTAGCAAATAAGTAAAACAAAAGAAGCATTTAATCTATAAAAAATTAGATTAAATCCAAGACCAAGCAGATCATAAATAATTCACATTAGTTATACTTTTGTACTCATACTATATAAAATGTAAAATAATACTACCTCTGTCCCATTTATATTGTCGCAGAAGAGGGTGACACGGTTATTAAGAAAAGTGAGTTTGTGTAGTTGATATTAATTGATAAAGTAAGAATAAAGTAAGAATGATTTAAAGCCACACAAACGTTGCCAAATATGATATGAGACAATTTAAGTGGGACTTCCCGAAAAGGTAAAACGTGACAATATAAATGGGACAGAGGGAGTAATTCTTTCCAATTATAAAAAAAATGTGATCTCAAAATTATGGCTCATACATTGCATAACGAGAGTATAACATATTGTCAAAAGTGCTTTTCCCCTAATTATACACCAAAAGCACTTATTTTACCAAACATTACCAACTTTTACTTTTCAGATTGAATTCGTTTGCTTATTGTGTTTTTATTTTGTTGTACAATAAGGGGAGGGTATGTGTGTTGATTTACTTTGACAAGTAAAATTCTTGTTGGAGGTAATTATGATAACCCAACCATATGAGTATGTTTTCACTGTTTCAGCGAATAGTCTTGTTCTTTTCGGAGTGGGCTATTTTATGTATGATCATGACGTGACGGTATCAATGGGCTTTTGGTATTGGTTGGATAGAGGGAAATTTAGATTTTGGGATATGATTGTTGCTTTGGCTCTTTAGATTTTAATATAATCTATTTCCTTTTATAAAAAAAAGGCAAACAATGTATTTTGTTTGTCCCAAATTGACTTGCAATTTGAAGATTTTAAAAGTTAACTAATGATAAAGTTGAATGAATTTATACATATAGTTAAATCAATTTTAATAATAGATGTTTACATATTCAAAAATTACATTAAAAGTGTTATAAAGTCCACAAACAAATCTAAATTAGAATATAATGAAAAAAAATGATATGCTAAATAAGTAGGTAAAGTAAAGTTGATTTTACAAATCATTTTGCAATGAAGTATTAAACAAAGTACAACTTCTAAGAGCATCTCCAATGCTACAATGTGCACGGTGCACATGTGACATGAAAGAGATAGATATAAAAGATTATGTATGACATTTATCTCTTCTTCTTTCTACAGTCTTATGTGTTTTTGGTAAGTTCTTGTCAACAATGTCAATCACAATGTCTACATCTAAACATTATGTTTGACATTGTGGAAAAAACTTACCAAAAACACATACGACCGCTCAAATAAAAAAGGAAATATTATTTTTATTGCGTTTTAATTGACTATTTCTCATGCCACGTATGTATTGTTCATGTTTTTGCAATGTAGACGCTCTAAGAATGTTTTCTTTGGACTATTTCCAGTCCCTGACCAGACTTAAACAGATCAGACCAAACCAGACCAGATGTGGTCATGTGGACAGTTATAAAATATACAAAGACGAAAAATTTACCAGACCAAATCGGACATAAACAGACCAAACTAGCAAATTACAGTTCAAAAGAAAACATCCTAAAAATGATAGTCAAACTTAAAATTCCTCTCCAAGTGAGAATGAATGAGAGAATGTGAATTAGTTATTCTTTTGCAAATAAAGTACGATCAATTAGGGTAGTATAGTTTTAAGTATATATGTAATGTTCCTCGCCACTTCAACTGGACTTGTTTTATATATTTAATTCTACTACTCTCTCCGTCTCATTTTGGTTGTCTTACTTTCCTTTTTGGGTTGTCCCAAAATGGATGTCATGTTTCCATTTTTGGTAAGAAATTTGTGGTCCATATTATTTTACTTTATTCTACTCAAATCTCAACCACAACTTTTACTTTTCAACCACTTTATTAATAATCGTGTCAAATTGAAATGAGACAACCATTATGGGACGGAGGTAGTACATTAGTGGGTTATGTTCTACGTTATTGAAAGTTCTAAATTCCTACTTAATTGGGAATTAACTAATGTTCAATTGTTCAGTTACTTCAGTACTAGTGTTCTAATTCAAAGCAACCTACAAGTCTACAAACAGAAGGCCAAAATGTCAATTGTATAAGAATTTAAAAATTAATAATATCAACCACAATAATAATAATAATCCAAAACTGTAGTTTTTAAATTAATCTCATTCAAAGCAGCAAGTAAATAAGGTTAGAACAAAATTGCATGGTAAACAAGGAAATCCCCTTCTGTCAGACAAAGTGAGAAAGCCCTTTGCAGACTTCCCTAACTCACAAGTATACTAGAAATTGGTCTGCTCTCACTGAACCCATTACGCCTGCCTTCTCCTTTGTGCTTCTTCCGACACTTGGCCGCATTGCTGTCTATATTTATATTTATTTTCGGAGGAGATGAAAAACAGAAAGATGTCGCAACCGCCTGCCAGAAGACACTCGAAAACAATGAAAAATCAACACTGAGTAGTAAATAAAGAAAAACTAAATGTATGAAGCAGGTATTAAGGAATTATGCCGGTCAAAAGGACTTAATTATAGGGCTCCTAATCACATTGCTTGCCAAACTTCATTTACTTTATGGCAGAGATGATGTGAAAATCAAGCAAAAAACTAAATATAATGATAACCAATCCTATATACCTAAAGGGAGAATCCCATCTCCCAAAAGTTTTCCCGCTTCTCTCTCATATAATTTAATAATTATTAAATTAAATTAAATGCTCTTGCTTTTGCTAACAACCATTTTCTTTTTTTCCGGTGATTTTCTTCTTCTTGGTTAAATCATCCGTTTCTTCAGTTTCAGTTTCTATGAAGTATCCGTTTCTTTCTTCTTGCTTTCTCAAGCGTTCATTCTCTCCCCCGCTCTTCTTTTACCGCCTTCGTCTCCTCTCCTCTTCCTCTTTTCACGCAGATGCCAGCTCCAATTCAACCTGCACCAGAAACACCTCTTGCAATTTCCGTGGAAGATTGCTTCGTCTTCTGAAGACCACGTTCAAATCCAAGTCCAGTTTAGTGAACTGGACCGTCCTAGATTCTCTGCCTTCTCTTCTCTTCATCATCCATATGCCTGCTCTAATTCAACCGCCAAGAAGAAATTTGTCCAGAAAATTTTCAAATCCATATCCACCATTAAGATGCTTTGAACTCTTAAGAATGATTTCCTCTTCTTTTTTAACTTGAAGATCTAACAGTAAGTCAGCCATTTATTTAGTTTTATGGAGATTCAAATGTACATGATTTTTAAAGCTTGACTTTGAGATATACGTTTTTCCTCAACACTCACTGTACTATGGTTTGGCCAAAAATCCTTGGCAAAATTCATAGCTTATTAGTGGGTTTCATCTTTATGATTGATCACACGTTTCGCAACTATGTCTGAATTGTGCCCTGTTGTAAGGTTCATTTGTTGTAGAAGCTAAATTATGGCAATTTCGTAAAATTCTTAGTTAAGTCATAAAATTTGTATTAACATTCTAATTTGGCAGATTTTATTTCATTGTTGAATCACATTTCATCTTGATTAGTTTAAAAACTATAAATCTAAATTAAAAAAAACTCTACGATTTTCCTTTAGAACTGTCCAGTATTTTGGTTTGATTTGATACACATTGATATTAATACTCAAACCTACTAAAGTAGCTTTTAAAAGTTTTGCTTCATTCCTTTTTTATGCTAACTTTTAGTGTAAAACACAGTTTAGTTGAACTCACTCATTTTTAAGAGGCCGTTTAGAACTACTGTTTTTTGGCTTATCATTCTTATCAGCCAATTTTTTCACCAAACACGCAACTTTTGCTTTCGCGTGCTGAATTGTGTAATAAGCAGAAAAAGTAAGGTTGGGGTTACTTTTCTGGTTTTATTGGCTGAAGTTACTGTAGATGATCATTTTATCTATTTTTACATATAAATTTTTCATTATTTTATTAATAATATATATTTGAAAAATAATTTTTTCTTGAATCAGCTGAATCAGCCAATGCAACCACTTCAGCCAGAACTTCATAAATTTCAGCAGAATCAGCCAAATCAGCCAATTTTCGTGCTACCAAACGGGCTCTAAATCTTTCACACAAATGCTAAAACCTGACAAAGAACTATTGTTGAATCAAATTATGTTTTTCTTTTGATAAAAATTCCTTCCTTTTAGCTTGTGTACAATTCTAAAAAACAACTTTCCATATTTCAACTTTCATAAAGCAGCAGATTTATAGTCAAAAACTCTGTCTCAAGTCAATTCATATTGCTAAGATTTTCTATTCATTTTTTTGTTCATATAGTTTCATTTTTTGTAACAGGGATTTTAGTTATAACCCAGGCATATATCATTACTTTAGTCTGTGAGCAAGCCAGGAACACAAAGCTGGAAAAACAGAATCATTTTTGTTGCTATATGAGATACCGGTCATTGCTAAAGATCCAACTTTGAATCATTGCAAAAGAAATGCTACCAATGCAACTGCGGTTTTTAGGTTTCAAAGAACCATTTTCACCATCTATGTGAAACTTCATCATTATTGTGGTTTTGATTATATTTAGTTTCTTTTGCTTTCACCATCTCTATGGAGTTGAACTTATCAAACTTAGCTATTATCGGAAAGGTATGGCCGTATGGTTATGCTATTTATTGCAGCTTTATGATGGTATGAACAAATCCTGTTTGTTAGCTTGCAACAGGATTATGACCTATGTAGAGTAATCAAGCACTTTAAGTTTGTATTCTTATATTTTATATATCTCATGTTAGATGAAATGCAAAGCTGAAATTTCTCTGCGTTTTAAAATAGCATTATGATGATAAGAACAAATATTAGTTATTAGCTTGCAGATGATTATGACATATTTATTCTTAATAGTTGGTTTGTTGTTTTCCTTCTCACTTTATTTTTTGTTTGTTTTTTATTGCAGCTTTATGATGGTATGAGCAAATACAGTTTGTTAGCTTTCAATAGGATTATGACCTATCCTAAAGTAATCAAGCACTTTTAGTTTTTGTTCTTCTATTTTATATATCACATGTTTGATCAAATGCAAAGCTGAAATTTCTATGCGTTTTAAAATAGCATTATGATGATAAGAACAAATATGAGTTGTTAGCTTGCAGATGATTTATTCTTAATAGTTGGTTTGTTGTTTTCCTTCTCACGTAATTTTTTCTTTGTTTTTTATTGCAGCTTTATGATGGTATGAACAAATCCAGTTTGTTAGCTTGCAATAGGATTATGACCTATCCAAAAGTAATCAAAGCCTTTTGCTCTTTAAACTAAGCTTTATGATTCGTTTCAGTAGGCCTTTTTTGTTTCATTTTGAAAGCATTTCCATTAAAGTTTTATTTCAAGTTTTGGAGCCATTTCTAATCCATCTGTGTTTGACCTCACTCAGATATTAATGAAATCCATAATATGATGATTTGAACTAAAAGATTATGTGATTAATAAAAAAACTGCATATATCAAATTAGGGAAAAAGGTCCTCAATATATAAGCTGAATTTCTTTCTCTACTAAATACTATGTCCATTGATTTGTCCACTTTTTTCTTTCTACTTTTATAATAAGAAGACTCAAGATGAAACTTTAGCATGTATGGACTTGAAGTTTTGATGATCTTTTTGCTATTATGACATTTTTTCTTGGGAATTCAGCTTAGTTTGTTTTTATGAATACATATCGCCATAGAAGGTACATTCCATCTTTTCAGGTTACTTTTTTTCTTTCATTTTTTGAATGTATAATATGTTTATACTATTAGCAGTGTTTAAACTAATGTGGGCACTCTTAATTGTTACGTAGGGATTGAAGTGTGTGAAGCTTCTTGATGGAGTCTCACTCAAGGGTCAGACTATGGAAATGGAAAACTGGGAATTTTATTTGGACTGACTTCTTTCGGCCCCAAAGAAAAACTTGCAGGCTCAGAGGTTTCTTATTTTTGTAATTCTTCTTGTGATGCCATCTACTGGGAGGCAACTGAGGATGGAAATTTCTCCTATAGATCTACTTTTGAAGAGATAAGGAATGGTCTGCCTGCAAATTTTTCTTTTGCTCATAGTTGACATCCTTATCAAAAAATGAAAATAAAAATGTTACAGTGGAAGATCTTGAATGGTATCCTTCCTATAACTGATAACCTGGGTAGGTTTCAATAGATGCGACATCCTTCTATGTGCCTTTTGTCAAAGAGTCAAAGTGACTTTATGAAACATCTTTTCTATTGCTGTGAACATGTGCAACCAACTAGGAGTTACTTCATGGGCATATTTGGTATCACTGCTCCCCCTAATTGCTCTATCAAACAAGTTTTGAGGTTATGGTGGCTCAAATTTGGAAGCAACACACTGGTGGATTTATTTACAAAAAAAATCTCTCTGGTATTATTTGTTGGCATATTTGGAAAGCTTACTTTAAAGGCACATTTCCCTTTTTGGCAAACAAAACAGTGTCAAACAGTGTTCCTCCTAAAAATGTTTGAAAACACAAATGTGTTCTTTATATTGGGGCAGAGGGAGTAATATCTAAATTTCTCATCCCGTGCAACGCACGGGTGGAATACTAGTTTGTTTTTCAAGAAACAATTAGTATGGGTATGCTAGGATAACTTATAGGAATTCTACCAGACACTTTGAATACAATCTTGACATGTTGTGGTCACACACAGATTATTTGAAATTAAAGCTAATAAATAAAGTACCTGCAAATCAAGATGATGAACATTAAAAATATCCTTCATGGAGTGCAAATTATAAGCCAATATGTAAGATCTGTAAGCCTCTTTAGCGGATTTATTCAGGTAATAATTATTAGAGACCAATTTTTCCTGCAGCAGAACCACAAAGATGATTCATTTTGGTCAGACAAATTTCACATCACCCTTTTTAGAAAAGAAATATTTCAAGGTTCACTCATCAAGGTACAATGTAAGTCTGGAGCGGAAATACCAGGTGAGACTGCACACTAGCCAGCTTTCTGTCATCAAATTCATACTGTTTTACAGGGACTTTTGCCACCTGACAAATGATTTTGTAAAGAATAATACTACCTCCGTCCCTTATTAAACTTCCAAATAGGTTTGGCACAGAGTTTAAGATAGTGGGTATTGTGTGGTGGAGAGTTGTGCAGAGGAGAGAGAAATCTGTAAGAATTGCTGTGAACCACAAATTCTGGCCAAAAAGGGAAAGTGGAAGTTTTAATTGGGACGAACGAAAAAGGAAAGTTGGAAGTTTATTTAGGGACGGAGGGAGTAGATCAGATCATACGCACATACATATTAAATCTCAGCAGTCTAAACCTATGTTGCATGGAAATGTGAAAATCATGAGGAAACGGGAAACGGGAAACGTCAACTTTTGCTCAAAAAACGCTTATTTGGAGAGTTTCCAAAGAGTTTCCGGGAGCTCCCGAAACGGGAAACGTACTCTCTCCCGAGAGTTTCCGTGCTACATAGGTCTAAACCCATCCACTGCCGATATAAATGAAAAATCTTTTCTTGAAAAAAGTCACTCAAAGTGGAACTTTAAGTGATAAGATTTCTTGGAAATAGATATGAATTAGGACACGGAGGGAATTCACTCAATATGCATAAATACAAAGTCAATTCAAACAATGCGTAGACTTCTAAATATTAGAAAGGTGTTCTCACAATTTGAATCTCTCACCTAATCACCTAATACATGAGAATGAAGCTTTTACGACTGCAATTAAGATTTTGTGTAAAAAAATGGCAGCCCGATGCACACTGTCATCCTTGCAAGTTGAGGGAACCGGGGGTAGGATCCCACCGCAAGGGTGTAGGAGGGGCAACTGGGCAAGTTTTCCTATTTGTCGAATTTACTTGTTTACAAATGCTAGAAAGAATTTCCATCTTGTCCTCAACCATATATCTACAAGATAGCTCATTTGCTTTTAACTGAATACTTAGACTTAGTACTACATAACACAGACCTTGAGATATAAAAGAAAATTCATCTCCTCCTGAATGAGGAAGAGATATGAAATTCATCGGAGTTTGCACAGCATGATGAGTGAACCTTGAAATATTTCTTTTCTACAGGTTTTGCACATTTCTTTGTACAAAAACTCATGCTGTTCCTTGAAATTTCACATCATCGATGTTTGATATAGTTGCACTTAACATTTCTTTGTGCAAACTCAAGGTTCACCTCGTGCTGTTCGACCAAACTCTGTGAATATACTCCCGGAAGAATATACACATATATCACATTACATTGACTTACAAAACTTATGCTCCCTCCACCCCGAACAAGGTACAACTGTATTAAACCATACGGAGTACATGATACTCGCATTAGAAATAGTACTCTTTGGACAATTTTGGTTGTAGAAACGTGACTCTTTTAGACGACAGGAGGGTAATGACAATTGAATAAATATCTCTGTACCTTGGGCTCATCTGGGGGGTCATATTGTATAATCCAGTCCTGCGAAGGAAGAGAAAAGATAGTCTGTATATCAAACTAATGTTTAAGAAAGCGGGGATTCTCAATGAACGAAATGTGAAGACAGCATTAGTTTAAGTAAATATATGGCAATGTATAACAGTTATAGTTTGCTAGTGTACTTGGGAATAAACAAGGTATAGTTATTAGAAAAGCACAGAATTGAATATGAAGGATCATACCACAGCAGGGATATCAAGACCCCTAGCAGCAACATCAGTACCTAACAAAATGCCTTTTTCGGCTTTGCAGAAATCAAAGAAGGTAGAGGTCCGCTTTTGCTGTTTTTGCTTTCCATGAATATCTAAGCAATCAATATGAATGTACCGAAGAAGTTCAGAGTGGAACTTTACGGAGTTGCACGAAGAGAAGAAAACCATTACTTTGTTTGAAAGGTTTTTCTTCAGAAAAGAGTACAGAACGATGAACCGCTTGGCACTAGGAATGACACAGTACCCCAGTTTGAGTCCTTCATTTGTTACCTTATTTAACCCCACAAAGAAATGTTAAGTGCAACTAAATTCAAACATCGATGATGATAATACAAAAAGGAAAAGCAGATACATTTTGTACCCTCTTTCTTCCATCATCCACGTCTATATAGATAGGAGTTGTTTGGAAAGACAAGCGTGCCAGATTACAAACTTTGAATCTTACTAAATAACATGCATAGCAATAAACTCTCAATCATACTAATAAAATATTTAAACCCGAGAAGACATCAATACAGATTAGTTTTAAGAGGTGTACCACTGTACCTGAGTCATGTACTCGAACCCCATCTCATTAATAGATTCCATAGTTAGCTCTGAGAGGCCCATAGTTGCAAATGACTCAGTGCCTATAATCCCCGAACCAGAACTCCTCACAACCTTCTTTATCTCTTGCACCTCATCATCAGCTTCTTCTTCTTGTCCCTCTGCATCCTCCTCTTCGTCCCTCCCATCATCATCCTCTTCCCTCTTTCTAACCTTATTCTTCTTTTTCCTCTTTTCCTTCAACACCTGTTCTTTGATGTCCTCATCTTCATCTTTTTCCATCCTTTTATCTGTCTTCTTGTCTACTTTCAGGCTCAATTCATTTTCTTTTTCTTCCTCATCACCATCATTACAGTTCTCCCACAATTCCTCCTCTTCATTTGGGACAGTGAGGTAGCAATTAGCCAGGCCTTCCTCAAGTCTGCAATTCTTCTTTCGATCTTGCTTCCTTTTCTTTCTTGTTTTACCAGATTTATCCTTAGATATTTCCGGCATATTGAGGCTGGATGTGCTGCTGACAATTAGAAATGTATCAAATATGTCTATATATTGTGTATATAATGATGCAGTTCGCTTTGCAATTCTCCGTCTAAATGTTTCTTAGATAATGAAACCACAACAAAGATAAATGTAAAAATTAACATTTCTTAGTGTTAAAGATAGTATAAAACATCAAACACTGACATATGTATGTAATATGAAAGTACTATTTTAGGAAAAACTGACAAAAATACAGATTTAAGCACATTCACAACCAAAAGCAAAATAATCTTCCCACATTTTTTATGCATAAAGAGCTCCATGGGAATAAATACACCGTATCATAGAGGAAAAAATCAACAAAAAATATAATAGTAATGTAAAACAAAAAACGCCATTCTGTATGATCGCACGCAGCTATTTCCTGAACCATGTGCTAAGCTATGATATCAGCATATCAGGTAGCCATAAATGCAAAGGCACTAACACACCATAAACTTCCTTATAAATGGTAGTGAAGTTTTGTCAAATGAGCAACACCGAACAACATTGGATTTAACAAAAAAACTGTGTAATTTGAAAATTGTGCACATGTATAAATGTACATCCTTATTTATACATATATACTTATATACCTTTGAGTTTGTGATTAAAGCTGATTGTTGATGTAAATTGCAAAAAATAAAGGAAAATTTGACATTAATAATCTCAACCATTAGTGATCTGCTTGAAATAATCTCAAGTATCAATTTTCTCAAAATAATCCCAAGTATTGAAAAAAATTCTCAAAATGCTCGAATGACTTAAAATAACCCGCAAATTGCTTATATATATATATATATATATATATATATATATATGCATGAGCCAGCGGAGCATTTTGAGAATTTTTTCTCATAGGTGGGATTACTTTGAGATAATTGACAATTGGGTTTTTTACAAGAATATTACTAAAATAGAACATATTTACATAAATATGACTATTCATTACTACAATGTGATATTGTGGTAACTTAAGCTCAAAACTTAAACATGAATTACTATGATTTCATTACTACTCTAGTCATTAGTCATATTTCTGTAAATCATCTTTATTTTGGTCATATTTATGTAATTATTTCTTGATAATTTGGATTATTTCAAGCGGATCACCAATAGTTTGGGATCATTCGTATCCTTTTTGCTGATTTTCAATTCAACATCTATGTTTTGCTGGTCTATTCTGTTAATTTTGTTTAAGTCTGGTCTGATCCGGTAAATGTCTGTCTTCGTGTATTTTACAATTGTTCAAGTCTGACAGAAAACATCCTTATCCCAACGCTCAACACAATCAAGGGTTTAATGCACCAAACCCCGTGTGATTTAAAAAATGCGTCAAAACCCCCTGTGTTATAATTATCATGCGTAAAAACCCCTCCAAGAGCAAATTTAATTGCCAATTAAATTGAAAATAATTAGTATTTTTGTATAATTTAGTGATCTTGACAAATTTACTTGCATATTTATTTATAATATTAAGACAAGTGATTTAAAAATTGTTAAATTTATTCTTGAAAGGGGTTCTGCGCATGAATAAACATAACACATTGGAGGTTTGACACATTTCTTAAATCACAAGGGGCTAATGTGCCATATTTATATATCAGAAAGGGTTTTGGTGCATTAACCCCTCAATCAAGGTTTGGAAGCCTAACAGATATAACTTATGTTAGCCTTCTGAGTGTAGAGGGTCGTTTTTATGTAAGAGAAGGCCTGGTGTAAGAAGGACCCTGGACGGCGGGCAGCGGCGCAGGTCGGCTTGGCAGAATGGCAGCTAGAGGCTTCCTGTCTTCGTCGCTTCTGCTTCGTGCCTTCGCTAGTTCTCAGGTAGGGGTGGTTCGGTACTGTATATCGAATATTTTATCACATACCTTTACTATACCGTAATCTTTCGGTATGGAAAAATACATACCGTTACCATACCGAAATTTCGGTATACCTTGTTTCGGTATACCGAAATTTCGGTATGATAAGGAACGGTATCGGTAAATTATCATGATTTAATATAACAAATTATTATATGTCAAATGAAATAAAGAAAATTAGTGTTAATAGTGATATACTAAAATCATGAATGAAATTAATTACAAAATACCAATGAGATAACAAAAAATTATTTGTGTTCTATTCAACTTTGAACAAAAAATATTATAAATATGTATAGATGTATAGATATTTCAACACATGATATATGAAGATAACAACACATTCTACTAAAATAATTTATACAACATAAATATATTTAAAATAACATCGATCTCCAATAAAAAGTATAAATAATTCAAGAAACATGGATATAAAGTGATTTATCCTTGAATTAGTGTTGTGTTTCTAGTTATTTTTATAAGTTTAAGAAAAATATTGGCTTGGAATTACAGTATGACGGTATACCGGTATACGGTTTATTTCCAAAATATATACCAATACCATACCAAAGTAATTCGGTACGGTATCATACCGTACCAAAAGTGTCGGTATACCTAACATTTCGGTAAATTCAGTATTTTTCGATATGGTAAGTCCGGTATACCGAAGTTTCGGTATTTTTTCCCACCCCTATTCTCAGGTCGGCAGGTGGAAGGCTCAAGCGTGGAACACTGGAACTTAGGTCAGTAGGTTTGGGCTGGGCCGGACTTAGAAGGGGAAGAGAGTGTCTGGCGGGCCTGAGACCTGTGTAATGCCCGACCTGTTTTGGCTTGCTTAATAAATAGGTCATCAGCACATAAGCAATTCTTTTTGTGTTCACCATCTTTATTTAATTAAGGCTAAAAGGTCAAATATGTCCTGTACCGGTCCTGTAAACTCAATTTAGTCTCTAAACTTAAAAAAGGTCCAATTCACATCTCGAACCGACAAAAAGGTTTAAATTTCATTTTTTTAAGGTTAAACAATTTGTAAAAAAAGGTCCACTTCGCAATCTTAAACTATTAAAAAGTGTCAAAATTGCAATAAATCGAAAATAAAAAACAAAAACAAAAACAATTAAAAAATTAAAAAAAAATGACCGGTTGTGTTTACCGTAAATAATGAAATTTGAACCATTTTTTGTCGGTTTGGAGTGTGAATTGAACCTTTTTTTAGTTCAGAGACTGAACTGAGCTTACAGGATCGGTACAGGGGCCTATTTGACCCTTTAGCCTTGAATTAAAATTAAATCATCCTACATAATTGTAGTATTTTGGCCAAATACCTTGTGATTTGATGGCATCACTGTGACACTTTCAAAGAGGATGTCATAAGTTCAAATCTCATCTCATTTCAAGGATGTTGGCCTTAACAGAACAGATACTATAATCGATTAGAAAGAAATGTCAAAAAAAAATTATAGTATTTTGGGGAAGGGCATTTTCCCACTCAAGAGTCTAACACATTCGAGTCATATCTTTGCAAATATATAGACATGGATCAATTCCTAATGCCAGATAAAATGAAAGTGAGATCAATTTCTGGATATCGACTTTACCATCTTTGCTCATCGGAATCCATTAGAGTTGAGAATTACCATTCAAATTTCGATTAATCGATTTCTCAGCTCCCCCTTCACCAGAAATCATCCCAGTTCATGAGAAGAATCATCCCCGTTCAGAATTCCAACTTCTTTTTCTCTACATGTTCAGAAGTCGAACTTCTTCTCCTCTACATGTTCCGAAATTGATTAAAGTTCTATTGAATGTAACACATTCTACTAGCTAGGGGTGAGCACGGTCCGGGATGGTCCGAGATTTGACTTGTCCCGATCCCGTCCCGGTTTTATAATAACGGTCCGATACGGTACGGGATAAGTCTTTATCCCAATGTTGTCCCATTTAAAACGGGACCGGGACAACCCGAGAAAAACCGGGACGGTTCGGGATGTCTCATAAAAAATATGCATTTGTGAAATGTGATATAAAGATAAGCATAACATCAAAATAAAGACGTAACTATTTTTGCAAATTTAGCTTCCCTAAAAAGTTAAGTAAAACCTTTAATTAACTATTTTTAATTTTTGTCTTGTAATTTTTTGGCCCCCCTAATCTTGTGTTTCCTCTAGTAGAATAGCAGCGCAAAATATTTTTATACTTTGTGGTACACTTGTAATTTATCAATATCACATTAAATTAAATATCATATATACTATATATATATATATATATATATATATATATATTCTAGTAGTTATTTTGGAAAATAATAAATCTATAACAACACTATAATTTGGAGTAGTAGTTATTCCATCATAAATTATATTCCGCACGTAATAATATATTATGGATTAGTATTGAAATGAGAACTAAACAAATTTTAATCAAAAGAAACAAAAGAAAAGAGATAAAAGAGACATGAAAAAAGATAAATTTACACTAGGGAGACAGATGACTAGAAAGTTTTAATGCGGTTTGACTATTACATAGCCTTAGAAATTTAAAAATAACATATTAATTTCAAACGGGACACTGGGATGGGACATGATATTTTATAGCTGTCCCGGTCCCATTGGTGCGGGACCGGTTCAGGATGAAATAATAGTGTCCTAAATGGATCGGGATAATTTCGGAACGGTATCGGGATTTTTCGGTTTGGGACACCGGGACTGGGATTTTTGCCCACCCCTACATTCTACCATCCCATTTTCAAATTCCAATTTTTTATTCCCATTTCATTTCAACTTTGTATTCCCCTTTTGCTTATATTTCATTCCACTGCACTATGGCTATAGTGTACATTCCATGGCAAGTACTTTGTTTCACTCTATGTTTCATTTTTCTATTTCTTCAGTGTGATTTCCGTTGAAATCCATATCCTCTTTTGACATTCTCCAATCTCCATTATGTTGCACCTAAGTTTGTTGTTGAAAGTATATCTTCTTGAAATTTAGGATCAGATTGAGAACACAAAACATGGAGAAGTGAATAAGGCTTTCTTCCTCTCTTATTGATTAATGTACCCCGTTGGAATAATGTAATGAAAGTGAATTGATCAGCCATTGTTTCACATAAATTTAGTAATTTTGAAAACTCGTTGAGTTGTAAACAAAACCAAATGAAACTACACAGTGTATTGTTTTAAAACTTGCTGAGATTGCTGAGTTATAACACTTGTTGAGTTTAATATTTATTATGGTTTTATATTACTCAGAATGAACCTAAAAAATCCACCAGTCCAGTATCGAGAAAGAAAGTTTTAAAAAAAAAGAAAGAAAAGAGGGGCAAAATTGTCTTTTGAGACCCGCTGAATTTTACGGCTATCGTGTTCGCAGGTCGCATGCGCAGGGGGGTGCGAATTTTTGGTTCTGAACTAGAAGCCGGAATTCTTGTGTGCGCAAGAGCTCCCCTCTTCTCATTCACCTTTTAATACTAAGTGAAGAGTGGTTCATATTTATAGGCTTAAAAGTTCCCAAGGAGTTTAGGTGTGGGAAAGTTTAAAAGATTCCTTTTTCTCCTATACTTGAGAAGAGCATTTTTTCCATCTACCTTCTTTAAGAGCTAGTTTTTGAGCCACTTCAAACTTCAAAGTCCAAAACTCCAACACCAAAGGTCAACACTACAATCAAAGCTTCCAAGAGTCAACCTTGAGATTAAAAAAAAATCTCAAGGTTAAGACTATTTTCTCAAACTCCAAGCTACATTTCAAGGTCCAGGAATTTGCAAAAAAATTCAATCAACCTCACGTCTACGGTCAACATTCAACAATCAGCAATGGATGTTTCTAACTCATCAATGTGTAAGAACAAATGCGCTATAAATATGCTTTCCCACATAATAAGGAATCTTTTAAACTTTTCATGTCTGAGTTTCTAACTTTTCATGTCTGAGTTTCTAACTTTTCAAGTTAGAAATGTCTAACTTGAAAAGTTTGTGATGAGTCTGAGATAAGCAAATCTGACAGTCAACAAATAATTAACAACTTGGAAGACAGGTTAGATAACAACTACAGAAACCTACTTAAAAATCTTGACAAAGTTTCCTCCTTGAGTGTACAATTAGAAAACGAAAAAGATTTCATGTTTGATTTATAGATAATTCCACCTAGCACATGAGCTCATTAGCCTATTCAGTGATTATTGTTTGTAACCAGACATTTCATGTCGCATTCACAGACAATTCCAATTAGCACATTTGCCTGTTCCAGTGGTTATTGACTGTGGCTAGACATTTCATGTCTAGTTCACAGACAATTCCACTTAGCACATGAGCTCATTAACCCATTCAGTGGTTATTGTTTGTGGTCAGACACTTCATATCATGTTCACAAACATTTTTATTTAGTACATTAGTTCGTTCAAGCGACTATTGTATGTAACCAGACAGTTCATTTTTGGTTCACAAACAATTTTACTAAGCACATTAGCCCATTAGCATATTTCGGTGGCTATTCTTGTGCTAATGAGTAAATATGCTAAGTGGAATTGTGTGTGAACAAACATGAAAAGTCTGGTTACAGACAATGACAACTGTAACGAACTAATGTACTAAGTGAAAATATCTGTGAACCTGATATGAGGTGTCTGACCACAAACAATAGTCACTTGAATGAGCTAATGGGCTAAGTGAAATTGTCTGTGAACTAGACATGAAAAGTCCGCCTACAAACAATAACCACTAGAACGAGCAAATGTGCTCATTGGAATTGGCTGTGAATGTGAAATGAAATGTCTAGTTACAAACAAATATCATTGAAACAAGTTAATTTGCCAAGTGAATTTATTTAACCGAGATTCTTAATTTCATAAACAACTATGGTCCATAAAATAGAAAATCAAGTATGAAAAAAGTTATTTAGGTAAGTTATTTTGAAAGATATTTAACACTTTCATGATTTACATCTATTTTCAATCAGTACAAATTTAATATATCAATGTATCATAATGAGAGTAAGATTACTAATCAGCTTTTCGACTAACTTACATCATAGTTTAAAAACATAACTTACTTGCATTGAAGAATTAGTTACAAGAATGACGCGTCCCACGTCCCATTATCAATACAATTATTGTGTTTTATTCAATACCAACTCAAAAGATTATATCATCATATATTATATTAAATACTGAATCAGAAGAGCAAATTTGACTGTTTAATCCATCACACTTGGTTTACATAATAGAAATATCACAAATATATCTAACCATATTACTATACAAATATTATCTAAAATAAATGTTGCTCATTTGTAGTAGACTTTGAATACTTGATCATCAGAAAGTAGCTCAAGTGCTCCTTATTCTTGTAAACCTATAGGAAATCAATTGAATAATGAAACAAAAGAAAAACAACTCATCAACAGTTTAACACATCAACTGAAAGCACCAAAACAATGAAATCTTTGAAAGCATCATGACAATAAAGCTTGACAAGCAAAGTGAGCATAACATTCAATATCCCAAAATGTAGAACTAACAGTTTAAGCATTGACATCTTTTCAACAAATACTCCCTCCGTCCCTTTGGGATGTTCCCGCTTTCCTTTTTTGGATGTCCAAAAAAGAAGCCCCCTTTCCCTAAATGGAAAGTTATCCTACATCAAAACAGTGTCAAACAGTGAAAATAGTGCAAAACAGTGCCAAACAATGTTCAAACAGTGTCCAAATAGTGTCCAAACCGGGAACATCCCAATGAAGGGAGTATATTCTAAAATAAACAAAAGAACAAAATTAAAGGAACACTAAATCTTACACAATTTCATAGTTAAGAGTCTTTTTTGGTTAGTATGAACAAAGCCTCACCTGCCATTCAAAGTTTAAGAAAATGGAAATATTGTATTTCATTCTTTTCTTGTAGCAAGAATTAAAACTATAATATGATTTGAGAGGCTTTAAATATCTATGTTGCCATGTTTATTAATCTGAGAAAAGATGACAAATTTACAAAGGACTAGCTTGTGCCACATAAACCTAAAGAGGAGTGTAGATCAACCAATTGAACTCAGTACATAATAGTTATATAGCAATCATCAGTCTTATTTTTACTTCTATAGTCGTATGTGCAGTCAGATAATGTATTGAGATGGTGTATTGAAAGAACATCTTGCACATCTAAATCTGCTATATTGTCAAGTACTGCACTGCACTGAAGAACAACTTTCACATTTAAATCCACTCTGTTATCAACTATTGAATCATTATCTTGATTTTTTCATAACAAACAGACACCACTCTCATGTTCTCATGCGGTTGCAGCCTGGACATGACCACTTAAGCTACATACATGCATACTGAAACATTACTTGCTCATTTCAAATATTCATTCCACACTAATTTTGTGAATATTACACTACACAATATGAACAAATGTAAACTACGATTAAATTTTTAGCAAGGTTCAATCACTTAGTTCTAAATATATGTTCGCTTCATTCATGTAATGTTCATATATGTATAACTACATTCAAGCATGAAATAAGACTATATTCTAAGAACCAAAACCAGTGATTCATTATTTTCATACAAATACATGTATGCAATCATCAACATGAATACTAATTTTATAAATTTATAGAAATATTAAACTTCCATAAAAATGATAAATAATTAAAAGCACCAATTAAGATTTTAGAGTCCATCACATAGAGCTAAGACTTGACAATGCCTTTTCCCACCTCTGGACTTAGATTGGGATAACCTGAATAAGCTTTATAGGTTATTATAAATTAAAGAAAGCATTTTAGTAGCTTATTAGCATACAAAAGTTTTAAAAACAA